GGCTGAGCACCTAAGAATTGATGCTTTTGAACTGCGGTGCTGGAGAAGATTCTGGAGAGTCCCTTGGACTGCAAGGAGGTCAAACCAGTCAATCCTAAAGGAATTTACCCTAAATATTCATCGGATGGACTGATGGTAAAACTAATAATTTGGCCATGTGATGCAAAGAGCCAACTCCTTGGAAAAGACCCTGATGCTGGGAAAGACTGAAGGCAAGAGGAGAAGGGGCAACAAAGGATCAGGCGTCTGGATGGCATCACTGACTCAATGGACATAAGTTTGAGCAAATTCGGGGAGATACTGAAGGACAGGGAAGCTGGTCAAGCCGCAGTCCATGATGTCGCAAAGAGTAGGACAACACTTAGCTAATGAACAAACTGGGACCAGTATTTGTTGGAATCAATCCTTTGGTTTTCCAGAAAGAGCTAAGAGATGACTTCCTTCCAATCCCACCATATATACAACATCACCTTCTTTGGATGAAGACAGGCCTTTGGTGTGGTTGATGGTTCACTTCCCTTACCCCAGGATCTCTTCCATTCCACATTATTGTAGTGTATCCATTTTAAATCGCCCATAACAAATTGTTTTAAAAATGGAAGTTTTTTGCTACATTTAAGTAAAGAATTGCATGCAAAAATAAGGTCAAGAAGGTTTTTTCCACTTAACTTATGTGGAACCCAAACATCAAAGTGATGTACATAACCAAGCTGGTGCAAATTATTTTCAATGCTTGATTTGGATATCTTGAGTATGTCAGCTATCTCCCATGTAGTATAACGGTGACTGTTCTCAATGTCTCGATTTATTCACTGGTCTACCAGACCATGGAGCATCATACAGCGAGAAATCTCCAGCATGAAACTTTGTAAACCACTTTTAACACTTATGCTCAGTCACAGCACCTTCTCCATACACTGTACAAATCTTTTTTTGAGTTTCAGTTGCATTTTTACCTTTCTTAAAATAATAAAGCATAATATGCCAAAAATGCTTTCTTCTACCATCTTCAATATTAAAACGGCTACACAAAAATTCACCAATTTTGATTTTTTTTAAACGCATGCTGATAATGACAGCTGTCACAATACAATGTAACAAATTTGTTTTCAATGAAGTTAAGCACAACTAAGTGCTATCAGAGCCATTACACCAAAAAAAAAAAAAAGAACCTTTTGGCGAAACTAAAATAATCTAGCTTCACCTCACCAAAAAGTATACTTAGCCCCATTCTGGCTAAGCCTCCTGGGAAGAAATGTGGTTCACATCTTTGAGGCCAAAAGGGAGCTATGAATGAGGTGACAAGGCACAAACTATAGTAAGTATACCTTGGTCGAGCCTGGAGTGGGACTTGTCAGTAAACTGGTAGTGAGTATGACAGCTCCTTGCACAGTCTCTTTTTAGACACTGATGAAGCTCTCTTCACTTCCTCCTCTACGCCTCAGAATCGCAGAGGAGTGAAGGTAACAAAGAAACGTAATATACACATTCATTCCCACAGTCTTTGGTGTCCAACTTTAAAGTTATCAAAACAGAAGACCCTGTCGCCAGAAGTCCTACCAAACTGACTCCATCACCTTTGCTACCCAGGCTTAAAACCACAAAGCTTCCCATCCTATCCCTCTTCTCCAACCTCCCCCCTTCCGTGCTTCCTTGTCTAGCCTCTCTTTCAACCGTATTCATTCAACATTCACAGGACGCCTCCTGCGTTTAAGAAATCGCGGTACAGAAGCTGGAGATGTAAAAGATGTATCTGACACGCTCCTTTCAACTAAAAGGTTTGATTTAGAGAGTGGCAAACCCGAACGTAAACGAAGTAAAAAAGCGGCAGCTCTGACCCCACCGACCTCCTCTCTGCACAGGCCGTGGCCGGTCAGGCCTCCCTTCCCTGCAGTCCTAATCAGCCCACGTCCGTCCAAGTCATGCCCGCCTGCTTCCTCTCCCTCCTTGCAACTGCCCAGCATGCCCGCTCCCCGGCCTCACTACCTCGACCGTCTCTTCCCTCCGTAATTTCACTCGCCCCTCGGGCCGCTCTCACCTCGCTCGGGCCGCGGCCGCCAACAGCGCAGAGCCCCGCGCGGCGGGAAAAAAACCGCGTTTCCCTCGAACCCTCGCGAGAAGACTCCTTGGCGTTCGGCGCCAAATCGGCGCGCACGCTGGGCGGTGCCTACCAGACCGACCTCCGCCAGGTCCCGCCCACCCATGCCTGCCCCACCTTTCCCAGGTCCGGCCCATCGCACTACTGACCTTCCTCATCGCATCCGCCCTCCTGAATTCCTCTGGGTCTAACCTCCTTTCTCCTGTGATGTTCGTGTTGCTTATGCTCTGTGCACTTTAGTCTTTGGAAATAGATCTCAGGTTTTTTAGAAAACTAGACTGTGTATACTAACACATATATATGGAATTTAGAAAGATGGTAATGATAACCCTATATGCAAAACAGAAAAAGAGACACAGATGTATAGAACAGACTTTTGGACTCTGTGGGAGAAGGCGAGGGTGGGATGTTTCAAGAGAACAGCATCAAAACATGTATATTATCTAGGGTGAAACAGATCACCAGCCCAGGCTGGATGCATGAGACAAGTGCTCAGACCTGGTGCACTGGGAAGACCCAGAAGGATCAGGTGGAGAGGGAGGTGGGAGGGGGCATCGGGATGGGGAATACATGTAAATCCATGGCTGATTCATGTCAATGTATGACACAAACCACTACAATATTGTAAAGTAATTAGCCTCCAACTAGTAATAATAAATGAAGAAAAAAAAAGAAAACTGGACTGTGGATGGAATATAAAGGATAGCGGCAAACAGAATTTTGTAAGAAACTACCGATTCTTCAGATTTACTATCAGAATCCCTTGAACATGAATTCTCAGGTGGTTCAGTGGTAAGGAAGCCGCCTACCATGGGATAACTTGGAGGAGGAAATAACAACTCACTCTCCTATTCTTGCCTGGAAAATCCCATGGACAGAGGAGCCTAGCTGGCTGGCTACAGTCTATAGGTTGGCAAAGAGTAGAACACCACTGAGGCACTGAGCATGCACCGTGTGACTATAACTACCACAGTTGTAAGGCATTGACATATTAATGTCTGACCTTTTTCACGTGGGAGAAATACTAGGAATACATTTTCCTTAGCAATTGCACCAGAATGTAAAAAAAAAAAATAGCTTTCACATAGGCCATGTCATTAAAACTTTTAGAATTGTTTGGTGTTTTTAAAAGTGAATAGTGTTGAAAACACATGAGGCCAACAGTTAGAGGCAGCTGCAGATGGAATTGGAAACTCTGGCTTCAGTGTGGTCAGGTTTCTCCAGTATTACCTCAATGAGCAGGGAGACCTTTTCCACATGCTGAAGAAGCTTGACCCTGTGGAACAGACCTGCTCAGCTCATCCTGCTCAGTTCTCCCCAGACAAATACGTTGACACCACATAATGATCAAGGAACACTTCAGGACTTCCCTGGTGGTCCAGTGTCTAGGACTCCATGCTCCCATGTCAGAGGGCCCAGGGTTCAATTCCTGGTTGGGGAACTAGATCCCACATGTCACAACTAAGACTTGGCACAGTCAAATAAATAAATATTAAAAAAAAAAAAGGTAAGAAAAGAAACACTCATTGGACTCCACTGGTGGTTCAGTGTTAAGAAT